GATTTGAACCCAAGTCCCCACAACTTGCTTGGGCCTGCTGAATTAGTCCAGTGGTAATACCACTAGGCCACTGCCTTCCCCCTATGTTGAAACAGTGGGGTAAGTAGACAAAAAAGGGACTGCTATGCATTGACCAGGAATCTAACCTGGGCTTCCTGCATGGGAGGTGAGAATTCTACCACTGAGCCACCAATTCAACCACAAAATCAATCATTCTGTAGCAGGTCTGCAAACATGTGTAGGATAGATATACTGACCCCTGGGGAACTTCACAATAAACTTTCCTTCAGCCTGAAAAATATCCATTGACCGTTACTCTCTGTTTATCACTCAGCCAATTTTGTATTTGAGTTCTACTGTCTCTTTTATACCAATGTCCACTTTCCTCACAAGTCTATTGTGTGACACTATATCAAATGCCTCTTGAAAATCCATGTAGCACATCAACAGCGTTACCCTTATCGAGCCCTTGTGTTACCTATTCAAAAAAAACTCCATCAGTTCAGTGAAACTCGATTTCCCCTTTAGAAATCCATGCTGACTCTTCCTGATCAATCTACTGTTTTCCATGTAACTATTAATACTGTAACAAATAACTGTTTCTACAAGCTTCCCTACCACCAAAGTTAAGCTGACATTTGTTATTCCTGGGAATAACCTTCCAATCTTTCTTGAACAAGACCATAACGTTTACAATTCTCCAGACTTCTGTCACTTCCCCTAAGTCCAGGGAAGAATGAAAGATTGTGGTCAGCATCTGCTCTACACATGTAAATTAATCCTGGAGCAAGGTATAATGGGTTGCTCAGTAATAGTGCACTGTGATCATCGGCTTTGGAAGAAGAGAAGAGGAGCCTGGTATTGACAGGTTGCCAACTGCAACAGTGGGATATGAACCTGCTTTCTGCTGTCCTTCACAGGGAACACAGTGCTATCAACCGAATGCAAGTGTCCTTGAGTCTCCAGCACTTGGAGATCAATTTGCAAAATGCGATGAACAATCTGAGAGAAAAATCATTGGGGATTTTCCTTTTAGTGCCCTTTTTTAAGCAATAAAAATACTGATTTGGGAAGAAGGTGTTTTGTGAGTCAAGAATTGTCCAATTGAGTAACTAAACAAATGTTTATTTGGCAATTGTCAGAGAGGTAGAGTCCCAAGAGGATTAATGCTTTGGGTGATGAATGGTGGAGCTGGGATGCTTGGAGATGAGTAGTCATTTGATGAAATTTCCAGGAATACATCCAAACAGAGTTGACAGCCCTACGCACAATCTCAATACACAGTCAAGCATTCAAAAACAGTTACTTCCTCCAAAGGGTGTTTAGGGGTAAAAAATCAAAATAAAAAAAAACCTTTCAATTGGCTGACTTAACAGCTGCGTTAGGCATGGCTGCAGAATAACAAGAGGGAAGAGGTAAATCTGATATAGAATTATGCAGTTAGAAGAGGGCAGTGCATGGACATAATCCCCTACAGTAATAGATAAACTCTTAGTCATCTGTAGTACACTGATTTATTTTCCAAATTAGGTGGTTGGACATTGATAATGCTGTTTGTGGGGGAGGGGATACTGTACAAGATCGTCAGATCAGAAAGTCACATGATAAGATACAGCGAGACTGCCCTGGCCTAGCTCCCAGCATTTCTACAGTTCTTACACTAAAAATGGTTTAATGGATGTCAGACTGGAAGCCTGTCAGCACATTCTTGAGTACTTTTCATGATGGCATTATTTATCAGCAATCTACTGGCCGAAGTACGTTCTCCATGGGAGCTGTAAACAGCTTTTGAACCAGTGCAGTCTCTGTCTATACACAGTTTCATCCTCATTCCCTTTCAGCCCTGCATCCCAATATATAACTACCACCAAAAAGCTAACAGACAAAGTAGTACCAAATTCAGTAACCCGACCACATTATTAAGAGGAATACCACTGAAGCAATGAGGCTGTCGGATTCAGATGTCTAATTAGCTGCAATTGGTTGTCAGATTTGCCAACTTTGAGTCCAGGCAGAAACATAGGATCAGGACCAGGCAAAGAGTGGGATCAAGGCTCTGAAAACCGACTTACATTGAAGAATTTTCTTGAACATTTACTCAAAAAAATGATGATCTGATCCAGAACCAGGCAAGTGGCAATCCCACTGAGCTACATTGCCTGAAATGTCTCAGCTGAGCAACTGCCTCACCTTCTGTCGATTCTAGACATGATGGGTACAAAATTTTTTTTGAGAACTTCTCTTAAGATTTTCAGGGTCTACCTTTTGAGGTAGCCAAATGGTAGGGATTATATTCTCATTCTCACTATCTCTTCTATTAGGTGATGTAGTCACATTAACTTCTATGTTTGTGTTGATATATAGAATACTTGGACTCACACAGAAGCAGAATTAGAAGAATTCATCAATATCCTCAAAAACTATTAACCCCATTTAATTTACACTACAGTGCACAAAGAAAGCATTAATTTTCTAAATATCACAGAATCTAAAACAAGACAATACGCACAAGTTAGCAAAAGTCTCTTTTCCAAAATAATTGATACACTTCTCCCATAAGAAAAGGCTTCAACCTAAACACACAGACTCCTGAGGTCACAACTAATGTGTTTCCATCATATATGCGCAAAGATGCAATTAACCTACCTGGAAAGTTATGACCCCTTTCATTGCATCTCAGGTTTAAACTATAAATTGACACAGTGTTCATTATATTAGCGTCCATTACGTTTTCTCTCATGTTGTAGCTCCTGAATATACATAGCCTTAAACAAGAGATACCACACTTATTAACAGGTAATTCATCGCCTCAGTGATTTCAAGATTTCGTAGCTTTTAGTTAGCTTGGTGTTTCTTTGTTGTCAGGTTTGATATTATTTTCTCTTCTTTGCAGTTCTCTTTCCCTTCTCTGCCTTTGCAGCTTCCCCCTCTCTTTCTCACTCCTTTATGGCTTTCTACTCTCGGAACTGTTTTGCAGTTTCCCCATCTCCCCCAACCACATTGCAGACTCCGTCTATCCCACAGCCTCACCAGGTCTCCTGCCTCCTGCTGGTATTTCTGTCTCCCCCAGCTCCCCTGCAGCTTTCTCATCTCCCCCAAACCTACTGCATCCCCTGTCTCTCCCACAACCCCTCGAGGTCTCCTGTCTCTTGCCCGTACTCCTGTCTCCACCGAGACCTCTGCAGCTTGCTCATCTCCACCAGCCCCCTTGCAGCCTCCTCCTGTCTTTCCCAGCACTTGTGGATTCCTTGCCTCCTCAGTCCCCTTGCAGGCTCCTTCCTCCCACCTTGCCCTGGACCTGGTGGACAGACGATTACCTCAGCAAATAGGTAGCTCACCACTCCCCCTTCTGGTATTTGGAAAAAGGCTGCTCTGATCCCTGGCTGTCCCTCTTGGCCTCAGCAAAATGGCAAATAGCTCCATTCCCAGTCTTTGCCCCCCTCCAATTCTAGCCCTCAGCTCCCAGGCCTAAGCCCCCTACTTCCCTGGTAGCTCCCAAGCCACTGACACATATGTACCTTGCTCAATACTCTTCCAATCACAGTGTGGTCTCTGTTGTTTGTTGTTTACAGGGTACACCTGCGAACCTATATGCAGCAAGCACAGGAAAGAACCAACCTGTGACTGAAGAAATATCTCCTGACCATTTCCTTTCATTCTAATGATGATGGCGATTTTTCGCTGATTGCTTACCCCAGTGTGTGAATTTTCAAGGGCAATTTGGGGATTTTGGAGACAGATTTGCCCACTATCCTGTGTTTTCTGAGTGCAGTTCTCAGGTACTAATCACTTTACTTTGTGATGGGGGTTGTGGACATGGGAGAGGAGGAGAATATGTTGCAACATTGAGAGTCAGGCACATTGTCCATACTCTTTTTGTTGCCTTCATTCAAGCTACACCCGCTCAGAGTGCTCATTTTGTAATTTGGGAGTGTTAGAAGTTTCATTCCTCACCTGTCATGATGGACTGTGCCAGAACAAACGAGGTGGACCAGTTTAGCATCTACAGCATTCATATGAATGAAGCTTTTGGCAGCAGAAATGCTGACAGTCCATGAATTCTTGTCAAATATTTGGGTGTAATTTTAATCTAATCCACCAGACTCCAAATAAAACTCACATTGCAGATTATTTTGCACTGTACCGTCCAACAGTTCGTTGCAAACATAAAGAGGATAGACCGACTTTCTGCGCAGTATTGATTAAACCTTAGGCAAGGATTAAGCCCACAATATCTGAAAACTAATAAAGACAATGGAAATTGTTTGCTCATTTAAAATTCTAATAGGCCCATTCACATTATTGCTTAAACCCATCATGCATGATAGTATTTTGCTGTTCTTATGAGGTGGTGAAAATAGTTGTTGCCTAAGGCAAGAGGTTCCCTAGGTTATAAGATCTATAAAATCTACAAAGCGCTAAGAACATTAGACAGGTTACATGCAGGAAAGATGTTCCTGACTATCAGGGAGTCCAGAACCGGGGTCATAGTTTAAGGAGATAGTAGGAACTGCAGAAGCTGGAGAATCTGAGATAACAAGGTGTAGAGCTGATTTTTCTGAAGAAGGGTCTAGGCCTGAAACGTCAGCCTTCCTGCACCTCTGATGCTGCTAGGCCTGCTGTGTTATCCAGCTGTACACCTTGTTATCTCATAGTTTAAGGATATGGGTGAAGACATTTAAGACTCAGATGAGGAAGAATTTCGCAACCCAGAGAGTGGTAAGCCTGTAGAATTCTCTGCCACAGGAAGCAGTTGAGGCCAAAACATTGAATTTTCCAGAAGATATGGTTCTTAGGGCTTAAGGGATTAAGGGGTGTGGGGAGAAAGTGGGAACAGGGTTCTGAATTGGATGATCAGCCATTATCATATTGAATGGTGGAGCAGGCTTCAATGGTTGAATGACCTACTCTTGCTTCTTTTTCTGTGTTTCTATGTCATTATCACTGACTTATCATAATGTCTGTTTTGAGGGTTATGCACCATGTAACTTCTTTCCTACCTGTTCCTGAACCTACAATGTCCCTGCTGGGTGATTCGGACATGGCATCTGCCAGACGTTCACGGAGACCTTCGTCTGTATTATCGATAGAAGACATATGACGCAGTCCAAAACTCTCTGGCCAACTGCCACACACTTCCAATAGTGTCACGCTGCGGTCAAATGTTCCTGAAAGAGAAAATATATGGGAGTGTCATTTACTTTCCTACCTCAATCCAACTCTAACTCCAGTAGAGTGGGCAGGCAAGTATAGAATCTTGTTTTTATAAATGTGACTCATTTAGGGATACAGTATATGAGCAACTGGCAATATCATATGAATCAAGCTTGGGAGGAACAGGTGCATTTGGATCAATGGTTACTAAAACATTCCACTATTGGGGATTTTTCTCACCTTATGACTGGGCATGCTGATACAGACTGATCAAGAACTCCATTATCACCGTATCATACAACTACCAGGATGATAGGAGATGAACTCAATGGCTGCTGGTCTGTTCTTATTTCTGTTCCTTGTCTCATATTTGATTTATTCCCAATTAGGTGCGAGTTCATGTTATTAGCAATTGTCCACTAGGAAATAGCTTGGGACTGATGTGGAATATTGACTTACACATGTGAGGAGAGAGGAGCTTTATTCTTTCAGTCTAGTCAAAGTTTAGTCCTAAATTATTTTTTTCTTTAACTGCAATAACTTTGGAATAGATTAGTTTCACTGATACCAGCCACCTTCCAAGATCTTGTTCAAATAACATGCTTCATTTTTCATTCAGACACTGAGGATTGTCAAGTTTCCTCCAATCCAATAGTGACTACCTTTCAAAAATATTTAATTGGCTGTAAAGCACTTTGAGTCGTCCAGTAGCTGTGAAAAGCACCATTGAAATCTGTGTCTTTGTTTTTATTTAACTCACATTTCCAGCATGCGTCTCTGAGTAGAAGAGGAACCTTGCATGATTTCCCACCTAACCTGTGAGCACTAAAGCAAACTGCAGTGCTCTAATCACACAAACACTTATCCCCTCTACCCTACAATTAGTAATGTTTTCGATAGTGGCAGTGTCTCCACCTCTGGGCCAGGAGGTCTGCATTCAAGCCCTGCCTACCCTGGAGGCATGTCATATTAGGTCCAAACAGTTGATTAAAATAATGACAGCACATGAACCCAGAGCCTGCCTGGTCAGTACAAGGATCAGCCAGTTGGCAGTATATTCATCTGCTGAACTTCAACCACACTCTCAGGCAATACAGATGTAAACCATATACTGTCTGAAAAAGATTTTCCTTCACGTCACCATTACTTCTTTTGGAAATTACCGTAAATCTGTGACCTCTTGTTCTCAATCCTTTTACCAATGGTAGAAGCTTTTTCCTATTTATTCTATCCACTCATGATTTTGAACACCTCTATCAAATCTCCTTTTAAGCTTATCTTGTTCAAGAAGAATTGCCTCAATTTCTCTAAACTATCCGTGAAACCGAAGTTCCTAATCCCTAGAATCATTTAATGTGTTCACATCATTTTTAAAATCTAGCACTCAGAACTGAACACAATACTTTAGCTGAGACCAAACCAGCACTTTACACAAATTTCACCTGTTAAATTTAATACAACCTCCTTAGCTTTAAACTCTATTCTCCTGTTAATAAACTGTAGAATGCTCTATGCTTTATTAACTCCTTATTCAAACCATCCTGTCACATTTCTTAACTTATTCCCTCTGCTCCTGCACCCCTTTAGAAATGCACTATTTATTTGTTCTTCATACCAAAATTAATTACATCATATTTCTTATTCTTACTCTTAAAGTCTGTTCCTTGTCTTGAACCCAACTGGATCAAAAATTCTCTTTCTATTCTTACGATTTCTTCTTATTTCTCACTCAACACTTCCCATATCTGGCTTGCTGCTTCCTGCCATCCTCTCTCCATCCCTCTCCGAAACTGCTTTATATTTCCTACCAACTGCTTCCTAATCCCCTTGCTGTTCCTGTCTTGGCCTCCTCTCCCAATTTTCTCTCAGCATCCCTCTCCCAATCCCTTTGCTGTTTCCCTCTTGTGTACCTTTACCCATAAATAAGGGGTGGAGTATGAAGTGGCAGAGAAGTGGTGAAGGCTAGGAAGTCAGAAGAGGGAAACACCAAGGGTTCTGGCATGGGGCAACAAGTAGATGGGAGTAAGGGGCTTGGGAGATGGAAGCAGCGAGCAGGAAGCAATGAAGGGTGAGGGGAACAGTGAATGCAAAAAAAATGAAGGTTCTGAAGAGGGAAGCAATGAGGGGACTGAAGAGGAAAGTAGCAAACAGAATGCAGTGAGAAGACAAAAGAAGGAAGCAGTGAACACAAGGCAATGAGGGGACGGGAGATAGATGCCGCAAACGGAAAGCAGTGAGGGGACGGGAGATAGATGCAGCAAACGGAAAGCAGTGAAGGGACGGGAGATAGATGCAGCAAACGGAAGGCAGTGAGGGGACAAGACTGAGGTGCAGCAAATGAGAATCAGTGAGGGGATGGGAGAAGGGAACAGTGAACATGAGGAAGTGATGGGACAAGAGTGAGATGCGGCAAACTGGAAGCAATGAGGGATGGGAATGAGGTGCAGTAAATGGAAAGTAGTGAGGGAATGGAAGAAGGGAACAGTGAACATGAAGTAGTGAGGGATGGGAGAGAGGTGCAGCAAATGGGAAGCAGTGAGAGGATGGGAGAGGGAAGCAGCAAATGGACAGAAGAGGGAAGCGGCAAACAGGAGGATGTGACAGGGCAGTCAGAAGTGGCAATGAGCAAAAAGGCAAGAAGTCACAGAATTCCAGATTTGTTATGCTGCAGAAGGAGGCCATTGTGTCTGCATTTGCCTTTTGAATGTTTTGACATTGTGCCAATCTGCAGCCTTGCCCCCATAACTGTTTAAAAAAGACTAACATCTGCAGCTCCTAGCACTTGTGTAGTAACCATGCTAAAATGGAAATGGAGATCAATCTCAGTACCACTCTTTGAGGATGTTTCCTAATTTGCAAACTGCTAAAACGAAAACGCACTACCAGAATATGCTTTGAACAGGAGATATCAATATAGTCGATCTTATAGCACAAAATGAGGCCATTTGGCACATGAGACCCACGCCATCTCTTTAAGCAAACTAATCAATTGACTCTACTTGACCATGTTCTTTCCTTATAGCTCTGCAAAATTTTACTTTTCTCACAACATATTCAATTCACTTTAGAAAGTTATGAAATCTGCTTTCAGTGCTATTTCAGGTACAGCATTCTGGATCATGATAATTCACTTAATAAAAATAATTTTTATTTCCACGCTGGTTGTTTTGTCAATTTTCTTAAATCTCTGTCCGCTGGTTATTGATTCTTTGCTAGTGGAAAGAATTTCTCCTTACTTATTCTGTCAAAATCCTTCATAATTTTAAACACCTCTATTAAATCTTCCCTTAACCTTCTCTGCTTGAAGGAGAGCAACGCCATAATCTGCTAGTCATCTGACATTATTTTATATCACACTTCATCTAATTTTCCTTGCTATTCTTGTGCACACACAAGCTGCCCTTTGCGGGAAGGGTGCTGGTGCTGTGATAAAGTAGGGAAATGATTAAGTGCTCAGTGTTCTAAGGATAGATTGCTGGACAATCACAGCCATTGAGTGGAGCTGTGGAGCCTCACCGCACACTGAAAGCCGCTGACAGGTACTGAGAGTCAGGGCAGACTGAGGGATTTGAAGTCCACCTTGAGTACCCTGACCCACGAGAGAACTAAGCTGGCTCCACAATTAACACTCAGGAAGCTGAGTCTGCAACCAGCTGGCAAAGTAGTTCAGATATGGTGTGCCGCTATAATGACAGCCTTAAGAGGATATGACCAGGATCTGGCCTATGTAGACACCTGCAGATATCACAGTGACTCAGAGTAAATGTCTACACTGTGAGGTTGTGCAGAACGAGCAATTGAGATACCCTTGCAGAGTCAGTCAAGATTCTCCTTTTATGTTCTTCACTGGATCCCTTGGTTATACATTTATTTTAAAACCACCACACAATGTGTTGGAACATTGATATATGGTAGTATAGACTGGGAGAGTGGGCACAACTTTAACCTAAGGTGCAATAAAATAGGGGGAGGATGTTGGTGGGCGGGTTGTGGGGGGGAGGCATAACATATTTTCTCCCAGTTCACTGTCACAAACTTCCTTCTGACTATCTCACAGCTAAGGGTAGGTCCACTTAGACATGGGTAGTCTGAGGAGAATGCAATAGAAAGTTTAGTCCAGCTTATCCTGATGGCATCAGGCCACTGCTCCCTTTTTAAGACTACTATTCCAGCCGCTGCTACACTTGTCAAGGGGAGGGGAACAAGGGCACTAAGAAACCAAACCTGCCTGTATAGATCAATCCAGCAGTGCAAATGTACTTAGTTACTGAGCTACCTGTTTCGCTGCTGTCCTAGGTTTGATGTTCCAAAATACCTAATGGTTGCTTTAATCATATATTGCCTGATTTAAAATATGCATAAATTGAAAAACACTAGAGGCACACAAATGTAAACACACTAATATGCAATGTATATACATGGACACACAAAAACAAATACATATACACATAGAAAAACACAAAAACACACAAATAAAAACACAGACATACACATTCACAAAGACACAAACAAACTGTCAAAAACACACACATATTGCCATAATCGCATGCTCACATTGATCTCCAAGCCGTTTGGAAACTATGTGAATTGAATTTGACATGGACCTCCATGTCCCTGTGGTAATTTTACTCTCTCTTTCCACCTACACCTCTACCCTTGACATACCCAGTCTATAGCCTAATAAAGTGAGACTTTGAACATCTTGTTTTTCTTTCACTATCCCCCCTTTTCGAATGGAAAACTGAGAAACAAATCTATGGGAATACCATCTTTTCCTCCACCTTATCAACCTACTGGGGTTAGGAAAGAGTGTAGAAAAGCTTGCAGAAAATTCTCCTTCAAGTGTGTATAATGGCTTTTAAAGCAATTCCACTCAGTTTGTACTGCAAAAAATAAAAGTTTGATTCAAAGTCAAGATTATTCCAATTGGATGTGGTTGCTTTTCAATTGCGTGTGTGCAGGCAACATATTTGGTCCAATGGCCTGAGAGTGGGGCAGGGTTATTCAATGAAAT